AGTAAGAAAGAAGGTATTCGGAAGATACTTAGCTGTGCATAGATTCGGGCCTTTCTGGAGTAAGAAAGAAGGTATTCGGAAGATACTTAGCTGTGTTACTGGAGGAACTCCGTGCGCGAAACGTGCTTATTACATAGGGCTGACCGGAATATGAAGGATGAAAGCCTGTTCGACAGACTCGGCAAGAAGCACGAAGGCCGAATTTGGTTAATTCGTTGTGCAGATCAAGTTGCCTCGTCGTCCATTATGACCTCATCGCTGGCCATGGCAGACATAACCAGGGTCAGCGAAACCCGAAGGTGAATTCCGAGCATGCAGATTCAATGATATTTCTCACATCTCTGCAGGTAGGTTACCTCCGCAACCCTGATGACTTAGGTTCATTCGTAGAATTGAACACCGAAATCGTTAGGACTTCGAAAACCGCGGCTCTGCAGCAGCTATTCAGACCCTTGATGTCTATATCCAGCGGGTTGGATCTTGAACGTTAAGTTGACACAATGCAGCTTCGGTATGACGGACGTCAGAATTATATCACTGCCCCATAATACATAGACTTTGTTGCGTATGGCGAAGGCCGCTTTCGAGCATAGATAAGTATCTTTCAAGACTTCTTTTCTTCGGAATTGGTAGAAACTAAGTTAATTCAGTTTGAGTCCCCACGGGCCAGCGTTTTCGACTCGACACAAGAAGAATCAAGACTATTGTGGAAGGATACGGAGTCAGCTTGCTGACCTACAAGTCGTTTCTCGGAGGACCTACCCGGCGGATTACGACCAGCACACCAACTCGCATGTATACGGCAAGTTCATCCAAGAAACGACAAGCCTCGCACGCCTGCGTTCGATGTCATAGCCATCACTTCAAATGTTCCCGAGGGGACCGATGTCTCCAATGCGATAAAGACAACGCAAAATGTGTATATCGAGAGCGGAAAAAATGTCGAGATCAGAGGTGCGCTACCAGACCGGTAGAAGACTAGGCTGGACAGTGATGAACTCGACAGAGAACTCAAAGAGCGCAGCGCAATGATCTACGAGTTGGAAAGGGAACAGGAGATCCTCCTCGAGGCTCTCCGGGCGATAACGCGTTCACCTCACTTCCAACCTGACAAGCATCCAGACACAATGAGGATCTTAGAGGTATCCGCGTTTCTGTCGAATGCCATCTACGTGCTGTGCTAAATATTCCATTGGCGTAGGAGTTTGCACACAATTCCAAAGCGGGCACTTTCTCAAACCCTGTTGTTGGCGACGAGAGTCTTGACTGGGTGACCGAATCACGATTTAAAGATGTTCCAGGCAAGAGGACTCAACCTCAAACAATGGACGGACCTCAGTTGGATTTCAGTAGCACTGAAGCCAGAGGCTCGCAAGTGTCTGCGCAAAATCTATCAGCGGAATTACAGAAGGCATCCATTCCCTATATCTTGAACAACCGGAAGTCTTGACTCAAAGGACTCAACGGCCCAAAAGACTCAAGACGACTTATTATTGATCAACATACTGGCATCCACGGCGATGAGATGCCACAACCTTGGTAGCTCATGCTCATCAGCTAGCTAGCCCTCAGGCACTTGAAGACCCTGCTCCGCGAATCTTCGATACCACCCAACTTGGACAACCTTCCATAGAGTCGAGCTCGTCTATAGCGCTGAACGCAAGTAGCATGCATGGAAATTGAGAGCCTAAAGATCTGAAATAAAGGTTACCACTCTTCATACATGCCCAGCCCCAAGCTGCCGCAATGTCTGATGCACGCCGGCTGACGTATAGTAGCCAGGATTACAAAGAGCTACTGATATGAACAGACCCCGAGAAAACAATACTGTGCCAGGATGTAACTTCTACACCCAGCCGGACATGGTCAAGCTCTGAGAATTTCGCGGCATACGAACTATATATGCTTAAGTGGTCAGCGTCAGCATGAGCCGCCGCCGTTCGAACGCTTATTCGCTGATACGAAGAAACGCGTCTGTCTAGCTGGCGGGATATGCATCCACCACCAAACCCACCTTTAGACGAGAGAGACGAGAAGACAAGTTCCACGCGTGTGCTCCCTTTACATATATGAAAGAGTAGAGGTCAGGCCCGTTGTGTGCCGCAGATTTCTTTGGCTTCTGTCTCCAGACATTGCTAGAGTGATTCACGGTAACAAGCTGATATTATGCTAATGAGGTTCTATCCATTACTGGGAACCCCCCTATTGCTAACTGCGTTAAAAGTCCTTTCCTCGGTGCCACATACGACCATTTCCCATTGACCTGAAATGGTAATGCTAGCAGCCTTCCTGGGCAGGTTTTTGCAAGTTTCATTGACCAACATCAGAGGACTTCCGGCAGATAGATTGCTGCAATGGGCTAGAAGGACATGACGACAGATCCTGACGTCATTATATGTTACGCCGGCGTAATTTCCCCTGACAGATCCAGTCAAAGCGTTCTCCAAGCAGGAGTCGTGTTTCCGGCACCTGGGTATTGCAGCAGCGCGCTGGACAATTCCTTAGCGACCGCAACTGTCCTTTTGACTTATCGCTCCTTCTAGGTCGGACGCAGACATCGCGGTTATTTCCTTCCCTGATCTGCATAGTATAGCGAGGATCCTGTTAGAGGCAACCAACATTACGACCAGGAAATCATGAACGGTATTCATGTCAACTTCCTCCTAACTAAAGTCGATGTATACTTATGGATGTAGTGACATACGTATGAATTTCCAATGGCGAAGATTACTATCATCATAATATAGATGGACTGAGCATGCGCCAAGAGCTCACTGTCTGTTAACCAGCCACTGATCGCAATCCACCTCTTAGGCTTATACTTCGCAGGCTCTACAGACAAACCTGGATCAATTCACCACTCCGATTCCTGCCATTTCATATTTGAAGGGGTTTATCCATATTCCTTAAGAGTGTCTCTATCTTAGGGAGCAGTCGCTTTAAAACTTCCGATATCTCTATCGTACGATGCAGCCAGTCGTTAGACCCACCGTGTAGTTCTTGTATGTCGATAAATCGTTAGTCGTTCTGCTAGCTGGACGATGAATCTGAAGAAGATGGAGCTCTAGTATGAAATTGGCTCCATTTTTCCACCAATGCCTCATAAGATTCCGCCATCGGGCCGGCACCAAATGCTGTCGCAGCTTTACCTGCAGGCTTCACACCAATAGAAGGTGAAGAAATACTGCCTTCAAACTGGATATCGGTGTCTTTGAACATGGTTTTAAAATTGTTCGACGACATAAGCTGCAGTTGACGTAGTTTGAGATGTAAAACACGCAACATGCTCTCCGCGGAAACCGAACGGCGAGACAAACCGTGCAAGGCTACAGCCAGTTTAACAAATGACGATTTGCACTGATCGCCGTCGAGATCGTTGACGACGACAGACAAGGCCGCGTTGACTGGTTGGAGAAAGCTGAAGGGTATATGGTCGACGCCCCAGTACACGGACTGAAGGTGGACAAGGTCGGCTATGGCCAGGGCTGAGGTCATGTTTTGCGTTCGTACAACAGGGAAGAGAAGAGCGAGAGTTGCGTCGTCGTCATCCTCCGCCTCTAGTGTTAATGTCAGTTCTGATAATACCAACACAGCCCAATGATACTGGGCATGTACGCTCAAAGTATGGGGTGTCTGGACTCCCGTAACTTGGACACAGTCCGAAAGATTGTTATACCAAGTCGTTAAGTCACGATGAAGCTCTTCCAGACTGTCACGCGCGACGGGGTTGATCTTCGCAGTGTCGTCGACGAAAACACACTGACTGATGTGGTAGCAGATTTCGTACCAGCCGCTCAGGTGATGCAGATAGCAACTGGGATGGGCAACTACTAAAGGACTAACACGGGGGTAGGGTGACCATACGTCGGCCGGTTCCCCTTGGCAGAGACGAGCCTGCCAGTTGATAGGAGGTTCCATCACAGGCCGGTTGCGAACCGCAAAAGTTGCAGCGGTAGTAGAGACGAACATGGCCCAACTAGTGTATGCCGCAAGTTGCTGAGGACTAGAGATTGGCTCTTTTCCAGGTGGTGTCCTGGCCTCTTGAGACCGACCAGGCTTGTTAAATTGCTTCAGATGTTGGATCATATCTCGCATAATAACATAGGCGAGTTTGTCGATGCCTCTGTTCTCTAAACTTTGCTCGATAAGCAACGACTTCAACATAAAGAAGGATACCACTCGGCTTACAACATCCATTGGATCGCCATGAACTGTATCGACGGTAAGGACCTCTTCCGTGCTGTTGTCCCTGCATATCTCTTGGCTTCCTCATAAAAGAGATCTTGTAGGGGTTTCTCGTCCGACGGACGGACATGATCGTCGTCCAGAATGTCATAATCGAACTGGGATACGCTCGGTTAGTAGCTACATCCGTCATCTAGTGTTGCCACTGACGCAAGCATCTGCCAGAATCATATTCACCAAAGCTGCCGTGCATATTCCATCAGTCTCGTGTCCAGATTGCATGGCCGAGACAAAGGAATCGCGGTCAATAAACGGATAGCACCAATGGCGCCATGTAAACCATAGTGATAGGAGATGCGACACGAGCCTGTCATCATCTGTGACTGTCGTCCAAGGTTTGGCTGGCACCTTGAACAAGGGCCTAGCGGTTCCTAATGTGGCTCTGAACAAAGGACTTGCAGGTGACTGTGGCGGCCGCTGCCATGTTGCTGCCTTGTAGGGAGACCCTTCCTCTGCTGCGTGAGGGAAATTCGTGGCAATATAGCTGGAGACTTGCTCTTTCGATGTATTCGTTCGGATTATACCAATAAGGTTTTCCACCTGACCATTGTGACCATTTCGGATCGCTTCCATCAAACGGGAAAGCAGTTTTTGATCCGATTCCAATTCTTCGACCTTTTCCTTCCACACCATCCTCCTGCGGCCATCCTTTTCTGTCTCGCGGTTACAATCTGTTTGTCTCGTCAAACAGGCTGCACAAGGGGTATCGTCATCACACTATTTGCAGCCATTCATGAGCCGGGATCTTGTAAGTTGATGTTGGTTGGGAATCAATCGGCCGCGTCAGACGGGCTTATCAGAATACAGTGACACAGCTTGACTTGGAACCCAGACACACAGGGCACACAGAAGCCGGGGCGAGTGGTCGGTGTTATGCATACGAGGCTCTCCAGTCAGAGTGCGGTACCCTTTGCAGAGAAAACCACGGGAAACGGCACTTGAGATGTACGCACCTTGATACGATGTTTTTGGCAAGCGGTGCATGCTGTTGTGATATTCCGTCGCTGTTTGGTGGGTAATCGAAACTTGTTCGGGTCGGAAATCATTGCGGGGTACATCGGTGTCGCGGGCGCCAGAGGCCTCGGATGGTTTTGCGACATGGTTGTAGGCGAACCTGGAGACCTTCAAGACCACCTATGCGGTCAGTCGCGAAACTACTCTGTAGGGGCAGGCGCCATAGACGGCTACTCGGACTTCGAGAGCTAAGTAGAAGATCGCAGGCCGGCGAATTGTATGGATATCGGAATTCTGGTGACGAGAGATTGTTCAATCGAAGACGCCTTCCGGTCGCAGTGCAGCTGGTAGAGAATCCATCAAATAGAGCGAGTCCAGGGACAGGTCGTGGTCCACGTACGGTGTCTTGCTGCTGTGGCGTCGAGAGCTGATTACAAAAACAGAAGGCAGCATTTGCAGTCACCCAAGAGAAAGGGTGCTTGTAAGGCTAATATTGGTGTCTTGATCTGTTTATATCACCTAAAAGCGGCGCTGCCAAAGTTGTGCTTGGCTTCCACTTTCGAGCAATACCTCGGCAATCTCACACCGAGTTGTCTGCATTCTTCTTGCTCAAATATGTGATGGCGAGCAACGAGCAAAATGGAAATGGCATTGTATACTCTCCGTATGCGCCACACATCTCGTCCTGGAAAATCAGAGCGCCGAATCCCTGAAAACATCCACATCAAACAATCTGGCAGTGACACCTCTTTCCGCTCACCCTCCTCTCGATGCCGGCCGTATCCCTGACGAAACACTTGCCCACTCCCTGCGCCATTATCGAGGGCAATAAATGGAAGACTTTCCTCACCTCAGACGACCATCGTGAACCCCCATACCTGAATCACTAAAGATAATAAGAGCAACAACGTGTTATTTTTAGACGTCGCAGTCGCCGATCGCCGAGTGTATCTTTTGAGTCGCTCTTCTGTATCTAACCGAAATGGCTTTGCACTATGTCCTCACCTCTTCCTCTGAGCACTAGAGCTTTCAACGTGGAAATCTCCTTCCCTCCTGGCGCGAATTGCATCCCGCAAGCAGAAATTACGACCGACTATCGACAGCGGTTACCGGATTACACATTTTGAGGGATGATTTGGAGTATGGCACACTTAGTCTCAAGCGCCGAAAGACAATGGTTCGATAACAACATGGGCCATTTACGCTGATTTGTCCAGAGCAGACAAGCTCCAGGACCCGTCTAAAAGTGTCTGTTTGCGGAGCGATATACACATCGTCTTCGACGCGAAGTCCTTTGCTAACAACGCACGATACCGCTTGGTTGTACGCCGATTCCCACCCGAAGACATCACGCTCCCAGATGGCAGGCTGATCCCATTCACAAAACTATAGAGCACAACGGGTCGGAGACCGAGACCTTGATATCGTTGACACTGCCTCGCCCAAGAAAAGCGATAAGCCTCCGGACGATTCGGCGTCATCATGGCTCGATTTTGCAGAGGCAGCAGAATGGGCTTTTGCGAATGGAGAACTCCACAGACAGACATACGCTGGCAGTGGAACGATACTAGCTGAAAAGAAAAAACGCTGTCACTGCCATTTATTTCGGACATCTAAAGTGGTTGAAGCTGTTGCCGATTCAACAGCACAGGAGCAGACGATAAGTTTATCGATGCGGTATTTATTGTTGCTGGAGTTGGGCTTGCAAATGAAGAGTATCGACCTTCCATCTGCTTTCCGGAGCTCTTCTACTTCGATCCGGCCAGCTTATTAGCAATGTGACGTAAAGGCGCGGTAGAATTTGGATTGGGCAGCTTCAGCGACCAGAGAAGTCCATTGCTTTATACTAATGAACAGGGGAAGCCTATGGCCGGAGGTTGGATTTGACGATTATAAGTTCAAGCGGAATTTGGAATCGCACTACCGCCTTGATTGCTGGGCACGTCATCAAAACCCAAGATTGTGCGACGCAGTGTTACTTGGTGTGTGGACGCGCTGTTGGCCAAATTTAGATGTCGGATAATTCGATCATAGGCATATAATTGCGGCTAGACTAATGGCCACGTCAGGACAAACAGACGCTCGGAAAAGAATTATTGAGAATGATTGGGCATACTTTGTAGTCAACGAAGGCGTCTTCGCATGAGTGCGCGACGAGTCGATTGTCTCGAGTCCGCTCATCTTGTTAGTCATTCATAGAATGCTCCCTGCGAAACTCACGTCCGACGGGTGATCTATATAATCGAGAGCTCGAGACCCTACATGATCTCGGCTGAGTCGAAATATAGAAGGGTTCTGCTCGTTTAATTCTGACATCATCTAATTGGGTCGTTTTGTTGTCGGTAGAAAGTTTGAAAGTAACTTTGAAATCATTCGTATCGAACGCTTCTGCGTCCCACCTAGCTCCTCTTTAACTCGCTGGTCCGACAGGGACCACTGACTGAAAAGCTGCAGCTAATGACCCAGGCCATGGGGCTAAATAACTATCACGCATGATTCCTCCCGGTGCCGGATAGTTTGTGAAAGCCCCTCTCTCCATTTGCTCGACTTGACCTGTATCACAATACTTCATCTCGGGGACAAGATCGGCTGATCTTAACCCGGTGGTAACTGTGTATGACCCCGTATACTGTGACGCATTCCTGTCCGCAAACGTGACGCTATCACTAGAGTGACCAGAGTTTTCAGATTGCGCCGTATAAAGCTGAGTATTAAGGTCCTGAATCGACGCCTGAGTTAAAGTGCCCACGCCTGGCGGGTAAGTGTTCGTCTCCATATTGAAATTGTCTTCGCAAGGGAATAGTGACCGATTGGAAGGACCACAGGCAGGATTTCGTTCAGGTATGGACGGAGAAACGCCAGACGAGGAGAGTGAGACTGTGATTGGATTGTTTTGAGTGAGGTCCCTTTCAGAAGGAGATGCTCGCAATTGGTCGCACAGGTTGTCTGAATTCGCAGTATCCATATCATTTGCTTGTCGCTTAGTTGTACATGTGTGTTGACCAATTTTAAGTGACGGTTCCACAAGACCGAGTCCTTTAAGGATCTCGTCTGTGGTAACGACGCCAGCCGGTTCATCTGGAACCTTTCCTGGAAACCCGGATTTCTGCCGGCACGCCCAGTATAGCCGTTGGAGTGCTTCATCCATCACTTCTCGCATTTGAGAATAACTAGCTAAATGTTGGCAGTCAATAGTTGGGCAGATTTTGGCTTACTGACTAGCTTCTAGCTTCTATTTTCCTTCTGATGGAGTAAGTGCAAGGACTGTCACTTGTCTTACAAGTTTCGCACTTTGGACTGCCGTCGCACTGTTCGAATTAGAAGCCTACCAGAAAAAGCTAGAACAGGACAACCTTGGCCTTCTTGAGTCTGCATCTGTCGCATGCACGACGTGTCCGACAAGTTCGTTCACCACCATCTTTGCCGCTGGTGCGCATCTTTGACCTTGACGTTGGCATAACTTACAGTATATCGGCGGTTAGTCACTGAGGAAATTATAACGACGTCTATTGATGGAATAGGGAAGTCCGCTATGAGTTTGGGACAAGATGTGACGTAACAGGACGGGCCCAGTTTCAGTCCCTGGACGTCTGACATCATAGGCAGGTGTGGGCCTTGCTGATCCTCAATTGAACCAGAGTGCGCACCATTTCCGACTTTGGTTGGACGAAATAGGAAGGCATTGCGTCCAATATGCCCGGTGGTTGTTTTTGCACAAAGCAAAGGACAACTACCACGAGAACTTATGTGTCTGTCCTGAAGATAGTCCCGATCAGACTTAGGAGTGTAGTGATGAAGCCTGGCATTCAGACTCACCCAGGTCATTCTCAAAGATTATTGTCAAGTTACCAATTCCCTCTTCTCGACCTCTCTTGTCGGCTGTGCTTCTGTCGACCAAGCTAAACGATTTTGGAGGTCAGTGGTAAAGGTAGAGTTGGCGTACTTCCTAGATTCTTGGTACAGGCCCGAAGCACTCCTCAACTAAAGGGTCGCAAATTGTGAGACTTGTTAAGAGAGATATTTGACGCTGAAGAAAGCTGTTTACTAGCTTCACTATGTGGACATTCGACTGGTCAGAAGCGTCTACCAGACATACTGTACGATAGAGCGGGTGACGCAGAGGGAGACGCAAAGTGACGTCATGGCGCGAGTAAGCGCGATGGCATACTCCCATGCTGTGCGCCCTCAAAGCTCGACGCACTCGAGGTAGCACGATCCAACACGACCGTCCCAGGAGGCAGACTTGCACTCTTAGAGCTCACGATACTATCAGTACGTCGCCTTTTACTACGTATTTCCTACGAAGTTCGTCGAAGTTGATCACAATCGAGTAGCCTTTTCTAGGGTCTACTGGACTTTCTCTTGACGCAAATACTACCGCGCCACCTTCGGAAATGACATCCAGACAGAATGGTAACAACCACCCGCAAGTGTCTGGCGTAGTAAGTAATCTTCCGGAAATCAAGATATCCCATAAGCATGACAAGGGCATCTCCAGTGCCAGGAATCCTGTTCACTGCCAACTCACCCAACGACGACGCGCAGAGGATCTGCCCGACGGTACACAGTGCCGGGGCTATCTGAAAGAACTTCTTGAAATCCAATCACTTCTGGATTCAATTCTAACGGTCATTCGCTATGGAAGCCAGGAAGAAACAGGTGGATTACTGGGTTGTATCCGAAGTGGAGCTTCATTGCCTCAAATATGCTATCACCTCCAGTCTCTGGGTAGATTTACACAAGCTACCCGGACAACATTTCAAACAGGCGAAGTCATTGAGGACACAGTTAACCAAGGGGATGACCGGTGACTAGTTTTTTGAGAAGCTTGGCAACGGACAACGACCGTGGTGTACAGGGAGAGAAACGGTATCCGAAATGCATGAATTTTCGGCGTCTAGCCTATGTTCCTTGTGTTGTGCGCTTCAAGAATCCTGAATGCATCTTACCTGCTGCAATAGGTGCGTCTAAAGTTATTGACCAAGACTGGCCATACAGAGTCAAGGATCACCTTGGTATATCTACATGATGCATCCGTTCAATCATGCCTCAATTTCACGCCGGGAAGTCTCTCCATCCAGTCGACAAATTTGTACTCCAGCTGTCTCTTCAGTAGTCCTCCTCTGTCCATCGGTTTGTTACATTCACCTGTGCCAGTTCATAGGCTTCGGATCGTCAACTGATTCACGTTACGAGGGCCAACTGGCCATTTGTTCCTCGTGTTGGAGATAATTGTACGTTCGCTTCGTGCTTCGTGGTTTCCGAATCCATGCTAGGTGTTAGGGCCTTCGCCGTTCCTGAACACTTGACGACCTCCATTGCGGTTAGATGGGAGTCGCCATCTCAAACCCACACTCCTAGTTGTTGCCATCGGCTTTTGATGGTTTGTCGGATCCTTATGTGGGCCCGCTTCAAGACGCCCAGTCGAGTCCACGATAGAGCCCAATATTATTTTCGTCCAGTATACTATGTGCTTCAATGATCCACTCCTTCTCTTGACTGACTCCCCCGTTGTATCGATCGCGCGGGAATAGTCTTGGAAACATGCTTCCGATTACGTTGATCTCATGATCACTCAACGGCTTGATATCAAGATTGACATTGCTCTCGGGCTGAAAAATGTATCAGCAGTTCGTTCTTTCGTAGTACTGCGTGATGAATAAAGAAGTGGAGGTCCATCTTGTGCGAGACGCCGCTCTTGGTATTCCGGGAATGGCGGGTCATCCTCCATCCGCGTGATGTTGTCCAGACTTGAGGAGCTGGAAGTGGCTCTCGTTGACGATGCGCGAGTTAGTCGGGCGGCTCCTTGGCACCCACGGGGTCTCTTTAAAGGCCTTTTTTGAATTCCTCCACCACCCGAGGCACAAGCGACTTATCAACGGTAGTTGTGTTAGTGAAAAAAAAGTCCGGCGACATCCAACAATTCGGAGGAAGGTAGGGCCCAGCCAGCGCCGAGAATAGTGGACAATTTCGCATCAGAACGGGCAGTATATTGCTCTGGTACGACTCATGTTCACGTTGGAAGGGTAGGGGGCTCATTTTTGCAAGCTCTTGCACGTTACTGACGTTTGTCACCGAAAGTAACCGATAAGGTAGCCGATATGGAAAGAAAATGTCCTGCAGAACAGTGGAGGTTGAGATCGTCTCGGCCCCTTAGCAAGGGTCGTGCGGATTGCGGGATTCACCTCCGGTCGACCGCATGCGTCCAAACAGAGACCTGCGCAAGCTGCGTGACGCCACCATGCCACGACTTATCGCCAACACAACGACATTGGTGATGATATCGGAATAAGGGTGTGTGAAACTATCACTTCTGCATACTATACCCTGGTTTCTTCGTCTGTAGATCCTCTGATTGGCGCCTCAAGGCGACTCGGGACAACATAATTCCTGCCTCTAACGCCGTCCACACGCCTTGCAGGAGGTGACGCCATGAGCGGCCACCCACTACACGATGTATTCATCCGATGCGCCCAATGGTGCGACTGTGGAGCACTTCGAACATGGCCAAGCAGTCTTTCCTTTCAAACCCCACGGCTACGTTTGGAGCGCACACGGTCTCATCGCACGTGATATTAGTGACAATTTTCGATGGCATATCTTTTCCGGCTTCCGCGAGCAAAACCCTACTCTGTCGTGTATTTCAACTTAACAGCTCCCCAAAACTATGGAACGAAAACCTAATTATTCTTCGTCAGCTCCCACGAAATCAGCTCACGAGGATTTCCGTGCACGATATGGACCTAGTAAGGCGAAGGCGGAGCTCAAACGGGTGACGGGCGTGGACTTGCCAGCAGAGATCGACTTTCATACGTATAAAGCGTCAAAAGATGGCGAGTCAATTGCAAGGACCAGATCAAACAAGGTGGGAGATAGGCATTGCCACCTAGAGGTTGTGCCACCATGGGTATCAGAACATCGGAATGAGACAAACCCCATCATTAGATCGACAGTCCAATTGGAAGTGGGTCAGCTTGGTCAGGGCTATGGAAAGATCGTTTGAGGAAGTCCAAACCAAAAATCAATCTGCTGCTCAGGCCAGGTCTGCCATCTGTCGCCTTCAAATGTCGATTATTGAGTCTCTCTTCTGTGTCATCGGAGATTGCTTGCTTAGCGAAACAACTATAGTATCCGCCACCTCTTTCAGCAGCTCAACAAGCATGATCCCGGATGCTTTATTCCTGACTTCATTGTCGCAGTCCGAATGTGAAGGTACGAAGGTTCGTTAGTCTTACATTTACGTAGATACTGCAGGGGTAAGATTGCGCCATGGTCAGCTTAAAACTACTTGGCGATTGGGCTGGGCACTCGTTCGCAGGAGGCTCGGTATGCCTACATGCAGATCACGATATCGTAAGGCGATCTGGGTTAATCTATTCCAGGAGCTGGTAGTCACGATCGGTTAGCCTATCTCCTTCCTCTTTGCCTGAGATTGGGCTATGGAGTATTCGTTGAGTAAGTTGCTACATTGCATGTGTTGATGGCAAAGTGGCTGAATGATCCGAGCGACAAAACCCTACCCTGGAAAGTGGCAGGTGGGCTTGACGTCTGTAGGTGTAGCACAAACAGCTGTAACAGCTGTCAAGCCGTCGACACTCACATCACCCTATTCGACTTCTCTGGGGAAGATTGTCTCCACAAGACGCAAGACGCATGGTGCAAAGCTTACCCAGTGGCATCGATATAAAAAGGAAAGAGAAAGAAAATGAAAGGGTGCAGATTCTGGTGACACTGCTCCAGAGTGTCAGCGCGAAAGAAATGATCCGCACATGCGCATGACTGACGGTTTCTACGGAGCACGGATCTTCTACGCCTGCTTTCAACTAATAACAGATTTGCGTGCTTTCACTGAGCATGCTCGCACAGGTCCGTACTGCTTCTATCTTTGGGGCATAATGGTGGGCGACGACAGCAATCACTGGTAGGGGAGCGTTTCGCTCAGCACCACCTGAACAGAGTTCTCAGATGCGGGTAATGTATGCTTCCTACGTTTCTTCATACGTTTCATCGCATTCCGAAGGCTTAGGCTAATATCGCAAGCTTGTGGATCGACTCCAATGTCTCGAGGTCATCTTCCCCTAATACTCTCTTGCGTAATTCCACGACCTTTTGCATGAGTGACAACGCTTCACTATACCGTTTGCTCTCGCTGTATTCGACTGCTAGCTCGTACATCGACTCCATTGTCTCCGAATCATCTTCTCCAAGCATTTGTCTTCGGATTTTCACCACCTCATCCATGAGCCGTAGCGCCTCTCCACGTCGCCCACTCCTCCTGTAGAGCATCGCAAGTTCGTGCATGGATTCCAGCGTCTCACGATGGCTACCTCCAAGGATCCATCTGCGCTGTCTCACCACATGCTCCATGAGATACAGTGCCTCCTCACATCGCCCAGCATCGTTGTAATCAATCGCCAGCTCATGCATCGATGTCAATGTAACAGGATGGTTGTATCCGAATTTCATTTGGTGCGCTTCCAACAGCTTTTCCATCAGCCTAACGGCTTCTGTATGTCGACCAATGTCGTTGTACTCAATCGCCAATTCGTGTATCGATCTCAGTGTGGCGGGACAGCCAAGGGTGAGCTTCTTTTCGGCCATCTCCCTGAATTGCTTCGAGAATGAGACTAAGTCAATGCTGAACCTTGCGTCTAGTAGGGAGATCACAGATGAAGCCGTATGTATTATAACGATATTGCAGGTATCAATCACGATATGTGTCGTGCTGTGGCCAGCCAGGAATGATCCTATGAAATAGCTGAGACAGTCTGTGAGAGAGTCCCTTTATACGAGTGGACATCACGAATGCGACGGAGAATACGAAAGGGGCTTGGACGCACAGGAAGGATCTTCGTCACGTAAGCGGTTTCATTTATGTCAAGCCTGCAGTTTAAGCGATTCAGGCATTACTGGATGGCCTCGGGCTCGTCGTTGCGCTACTGATGACAACTCCATAACTTTTGCAACTTATCACCAGTCCTATATCTTTAAAGCGAACCAAGCGTAGAGTCTCGCCGAACAGATATTGTTAACTGACTCAATTTCTCGGCCAAGTTGCATTTATTCCGGTGTCTGCGGCTTCATGGTTGATTCTTTCCTCCCGGACGCGGCGAAGCTTTAGTCCGAATCAGCAGATGAGAGGTGAGAGCTAAAGGATGAAGGGGCTCAGCAGCAGACTAAAGAATCTGTGCCCGTTCGTTGGGCATTGATTGAATCGCAGATCAGGGTCTGAGCCTTCAATTCCTTGAAGTCTTTTGCAGCAGTCTAGGTGGGGAAGTTAGCCTTTCTGAGCGCCCACCTCACTGGGTTTAGGTGGTGGTGATAGGCGCGGTGAAAGTCTCCGGTGGAAATCCCATCCGTCATCAATTCAGTCAGTAACCACATTCAGAGGATCCGCATGACAGCGCACAATTCCGTCGTTATCTGGAAGAACTTCATGAAAGTCTTATCACCTCTTGATTGTACACCGACGGCCATTTGCTATGGAAGTTGGGAAGAAGTAGATGGATTGCGGGATTGTATCCGAAATGGAGCTTCATTGTCCCAAATACGCTATCACCTGCGGTCTCTGGGTAGATTGACACAAGCTACATGCCCAACCACGGTCGAAGCCACAGAGGATACGGTTGACAAAGAGAATGACCAGTGACTAGACCATTTGAGAAATCTTGCATCCCATCACATTGGCACCCGCTCCCTGTTCAGGATGGGTAATGCGCAATACCACACTCTTTGGAATATCTCAAAGACCGAGTCTGCGTTGCTGCACGCACTGTAATGAAAGTATCACAATGCTCAAAAAATCCCGTGCGCGAGTTCCCAGATTGGCAAGTTATCGTAGACCCGTGAAATGTAAACGACAATGGGAACCGATCCAAATATGGTATTTCACTGGTACTCCATGCCTTTCAAATCCAAGGGGCTACCAACGTCAATCTAGGAACTAGGCCACGGCAACAACAAAGTAGACTATTCCCCGTGGCAGAATGCATCCTGCGAGAGGTCCTGCCATCCATCACCTTTAATGCCCGATAGCGTTAGTTCCTGCAAGTATCTGGCAAGGTTATCAGCATGATGCCCCGCCAACGGCAGCGCTGCCCCCAAGTGCCGCGGTTGTGCTCGCCGTAGGCCTTCTCCACCTCGTCTTCGTTCATCAGCTCGATATTTGCGCGCCGTGAAGTCAGCACAGTATTCGTCTGTGACGTTGCCGTACTGCGTTACACTCATGTTAGCCCACCACTGTAGCGGTTAAAGAGAATCTGCACTGCTTGCCGTTGCGCGCCTTCGGCCATCCCGGAGCTCTTCGCGGACGGCTTCAATCGTGGGAATCTGGTCCGAAGGCCATGCCTTATCTGTCTCCTCGTCCATCTCTTTGAATTGGCGAAAAAATATATCTGGGCCACAAGACCTCGTGTAAGCTAAAAAGTTCGATAGTAGCGCTGTAGGGAGACGAACGAATGAAGGCTGAGCAGCGGCACAAGCTCTGGCAGGTTTGGATCTGTAATACGCAGCTTAAAATCCCGCCTGCGGTCGTGAGTCAAGTAGGCGAAGGTTGCCACTCTGTTCAGTGCCTCAGTTCCCGCAGAATGAGTACCAGCGTATTCTAGGGACTCACAGCTGCATACTGTTGATCGTATAGTTTGTAGGAGGTAGTGTCGTATGTTGCTCCTCGGATCGTGCTCTAGGAAAACTGTAGATTAGATTAATCATTCTTGCCTGGTGAAGATGCCTCACCATTCTCTGATTCGTTCGCTACTCATAGGAACATCCTTCCGTGGTAGATAGCTCCATCCGCTGCATATTTGGTTGCGAAACATATTTCGTTTTCACGACCTGCAGGTGGATTCAACGGTCACTTGCTGTCTTTTGTTGAGGCGGTATACTCACTAATATTTTATTCTTTGATACAATGTTGCCGGTTGATGTATTGTATGTCCAGGCGACGGGCTTAGTTCCGCTTCGTTCTAACGTCAAATAAATTCTCCTCTTGATATTATTAAGGCAAACTCACCGCCCCATCCTCAAAATGCCCAGAATGAAATTTGATTTTGCGTGAGAAGAAACGCTCCTCGCAATCCATTGAGACCGATACTGGAGCGCCCTTTCTACCCCAGGTGAGATAATCCGGCCGAATCCAAGGGCTAAGTACCCGGTCGCGAGGTATGTCGACGTGATTCAGCCGCCATGGTTCGAACATCTCTGTTTCTGCAACGGTTGAAGTCTTTGCGCAATATATGTCCAGTACTTCGCGAAAGCACAATTAAGGAAATAGATCGTAAGAGTTATGGCCCGCTGAACAGAACACTGTCCATGGCCTGGATAAGTACGATATAGGACACATGACGTAAGGTAGTCAGGCCCCCATCCCCCGACATTTTGCAGATCACGATGGTGCCTCTCGAAAGCTATCGGCACAGTACTTGCCCGCAGTTTGGGCGACCAGCCTTCCTCATTGGCCGTTAAGGGGCAGGTGCCTGCTTGATTATTTCGTGACGGGAGCCACTGGCATTATATGTCTGCCATACCAATGCCTATCTCTCCTCGATTGACGGTCTCTGTCTAAAGTCACATCTTGGGGCGCTGTGCAAGCCCGTCATTTCTTGGCGCCATATTTAATAAGATCGCCGGGCTCTCTCAACTTTCTCTAATGCCATATATCTGCCTTGCCCATGCTGCCAATTCACGAAGATGGGGTCTTCACTCAGACGCTGTGGACGTAATGCAATCAACGCAACGCCCTTCAGTTCGCCTCAGCAGTCCATGTCTCCCATCTCTGCCAGCCGTGCGTCAGGCCTGGACGATGCACTTATACGCATCGTCCATTATCACCTCAACATATCGCCCTCACCGCCTTCGCCACATTCTACGTTGCCTCTTTTCTCCTTTCGATCGCTCTCCTCCCTTCGAGCCACATGCCTCGCCGGAAGAAGCTGACTATGGCCAAACTACGATCTGAAGTTTCATACTCGAGTCACGCTTCAAGCAACGTCTGCACACGAGAATTCCTCGAGCAGAAATACTAGGAATACGATAAAGCCTCGTTGTACACAGAAAATACCATTTTACCATGTTTAACGCATTCAGCGTCTCTTTGAGGACTACGTGCCATGACCTGATGAGGCTGAACCGCTGTGAACTCTGCACGAGCTACTGTGGCATGGTCCATCTTGATTCCAAAGGCAACCCTTGCGAATGAACCACGGCTCGGATGCAGAGCTTCCTGCATTGGTCGTTCCAGACCTAGACCATCAAGAAAACTAGCACGATGACGATGTACGGGCGTCAGTTGAGCCAGCTATACGTCATGTGGACGCAGCGTCGGATGGATCCGGCCGCGATGAGGTAGATCTTCGTGTTATGTATTACAGTCCCAAGACGTCAGCTGAGAATCAATCGCTGAAGCTACACTACACTTTATGGAAGGGCCGCTGACAGAAGAGTATGGCTCAGACAATATCGAAGTCGAGAAGCCCCTCTTCGAGGCGGATGATTTCGTCGAGCTTATCGGCTACCACTGGGCTTCGGATATCAAGTGTTTCCTAATGAACGGTAACACCTCCGGCTCGCGGCGATTCTGTTGCTGGCAGCTTTCATCGGGTCTCGACCTTAAGCCTTGTTGGACTTGACTTATCGGGATCTGAATCTTTATGTCGAGTAGAACCCCGAGACTGGTGCCGATATGCTTCGGCTGGGGGTGAAATTAATAAAGACGTCGTCGGGTCAAAAGCGGAAATGACCGTAAGGATCTCTTCCGCCGAGGAGTTTATAAGGCTAACGCGGCTACAAAGGAAAAAGTATACCTTCAATTTGGACGACAACCCAATCTTCTGCCCCATCACCCACATTGCCAGCTTGGCTTTCGACGACTCAGCGTTCGGGCTACTCGGTCTTAAGTCACCCGACATTCTGTTCCGTCTACGGGCGCGGCGAGAAAAGGGATGTCAGCCGATTCCGTGGAGAAAAGATATGCTTGACGTGCCCATCTTTCGCCTTCCCGTCGCCACTCAGGAAGGTGTCAAGACATCGCCAGATAAAGCTCTGACCTACAACGTCTATCAGGCCTGGGTCAAGCGTCTGGGTGAGGCGTTGGGTTACCTACAGACACTGACGACCTATATTGTCTTCGCCAAGCCCTAGGCAACGCCATCAATGGTAGGTGACCTCTTCCGATGGTTCTGTTGAGAAGAGTTCATCCTGCTGACACATACACTCGCTCAGATGATCCCAAATCTAACGCGGCCGTCCGTAACCTTGCCCTGGGTCATGTTGGATCTTCCACGATCTTCGAACGGAATTACCTATCTCGTATGATTCGTTACAGTACGCAGGACGCGTTCTGGAATCGGGACGGTAATCCGCAGGCGGCCAAATCGGCCAGCCGCATCGGACGTCTTCGCGATCCGAACCGGCCGAGGAAGCTGACTGACGAACAGAGTCAGCGGGTTCGACAGTTACCATCTGTCCGCCGGCTTCTGGAATCGCGAGATCGGGTTCGCAGCCTTATCCTTCGGGAGTTCGGAGTGCTTCGAATGGCGGTTGGAGAAGCAATTCATGGGGAGTATAAGAAGTTGGACCGAATGGTTAACAGCACGATTCGAGCTGAGGAGCGAGCTCTATTGAAGTTGCAGCCAGCGAGAGTACGACGAAACGGCTCCTGTTGAGGCGATCCAGCGGCAGATCAGAGGAATTTCAGCTGAGGGGCAAGACCTGACTCCAGAGTCGGACTCACCACAGATTAAGATTCCCGAACGACGGCAGATTGCGGAAGCGGCTATGAGCGACCCTGCGGTATTCACCGGTCCTAAGGCTCTATCCCGACACATAAAATGTTCCTTAACGATGATTGCACTGTGTAAACGACGGGAGAGACGATCGACAAGAGAAACATCTTCAGCTACAAAAACAGGATTTCCGGCTAGCGTACTTCATACTCATGTCCTGCCGTCTTCTTCATCAGCCTTCAAGAGTATATCCCCGGTGACATGTGAGACACATCAATGTCTCTTCTGCCTGTGCAGTGATTTATCCCAAGAAGATCGGGAGAAACTCTATGCTGGTAAGCACTCCCTCCAGAGACATGCCGAACGCTGTCGCCTACGACACTTTCGAGAGAAGGATCAAATTCCTTGCCCAGACAATGTGGCTTGCCGTGGAATGATTTTCGAAGGAAAATCACATTTCAAGAATCATGCCGCTTTGGTACACCTTTTCGTCTTATGAGCTACATTGGCCACGACCGACGATGCTATTATATACTGCCCGAGAGTCTGATCATGCCCATAGGAGCCTCCCTATCCGTCCGGGACATGAGATCATATCAAACAAGGAAGGATCGCAGTTCTGTCGTTCAAGCAAGGCCCTTTACGAGATCCGCTTAACCATTCATCACACTCAAATTCCGGGGGAGGACGGACACCATCGTCGTTCTGTAAGTACTAAAAGATCGGAACCATACAAGCGCATTCGGGCCTTACCGGCGTAGAAAGAAGCCAAGCCGGTTGTCGGAAGTACATTTGGTTGTATGACCGGACGGACTCTGCCGAAAACTTCTGCTTGTTGTATCTGGCCGACAGGGACATGAATGATGAATCGTATGAGAGGATTGGGTTAAAGGAAACAAAGGCGAAAATTGGTGAGCGAAGCGAGATGGTCTTATGATCTCATCGCTCCGGCGACCATATGACGTAACCAGCAGTCTACCTAAGCTGAATTCCATGAGCCGAATTCTCAACCTCGCGAATTCAAAGATACGTTCTTAAGCAGGAAAACCCAAGTTTAAGTCTGGGTTTCTCACAACAGCAGCAGTATCGGAAGATGGGTGCTATCGTCAGCTACGTTCATGACCTCCTGGACAGCGCCCTCGCCACCGTCAAGCTAGTCCAAAATCGTGAGGTCGGCTGGAAGACCATCAATCGTAAGACTGGCTGCTATGTGCGCGAACAACAACCCATCTACAGGAAAGTCAAGCTATGGCTCTTGTTCAGTCGGCCCATGGAATGGTTCGACCGAACGTGGTTGCTGAGGTATTGGATGCACGAGAAGACCATAAGATCTGGCAAGAAAGAAGGTACTCCGGCCTCTGCCAAGCAGATAGCGTCCTTCGTCGACTTCTATCACATCAACATGGAACATTTCACTCCCACAGACATCCACGCGTACCGCACTTTTGAAGATTTCTTCGTGCGGCGACACAACCCAGGCGCCCGTCCAATCTTCCAACAGAATGACCCCTCTCTCGCCGTCGTTGTCGCGGACAGTCGGCTTGTAGTCTACCCTTGCGTCTCCGAGACTAAACGGCTATGGATAAAAGGTCGAAACTTCACCATCGGTAATTTGATCCAAGACGTTGCCGCCGCCAAAATATGGGACCACGGCGCGATCGCGTCCTTCAGACTCAGTCCGCAAGACTATCATCGGTATCACTCTCCAGTCGAGGGCACTGTGGAATGGTACACGCAAATTCCTGGAGCGTATTACCAAGTCGACCCGCTCTGCTTGCGATCCGACATCGACGTCTTGACGGTAAACGGTCGCTGCGCAATCTGCATCAACAGCCCGTCGTTTGGACGTGTGCTCTTTGTCGCAATCGGTGCCACAGACGTGGGAACCGTGGAAATTAACCAAAAGTGTAGGGCTAAGGGCTCACACCTGGAGAAAGGCGAGGAACTAGGTTCGTTCCAATTTGGAGGGAGTAGCATAATCGTCGCGTTCGAGAAGGGGAGGATACGTTTGACGAAGATTTACTCAGTGTGAGCAGGCGTCTGGTGATGATGGATGTGGAAGTAGGGATGAGTCTGGGACGGGCGACCCAGAATGTGTGAGTTTTGTTCAGAACTACCGAGGCAGAATTGACGAGAAGATATTGTTCTACTTCTCCTGCCATCATGGTTCAGTATTGTCACTGCTTCGAGTTGCATTAGCATACGCTTTTTCGTTAGGCGGCTTTGATGTTCCAGTAGTCTTCTTTGAAGCCCTGTATACATATGGTCCTCAAACAGTGTAAATCACTTCTCTGCAATACCAAGTAACTGTACGTTCTGCACTGACATGCGTGGGATGCTTGTAATCGTCGCTTTGGGCTCCGAAAATTCCTCGAGCAACAAGCTGATTCCGCATTCCACAATCTATTGATTCTTTCTATCGTCGGATCGAAATGCGGGTGTGTGAAGATTTGTGATCAAAGCAATCGGTTCTGAAGAGCATCTGGCCCCACGACAACTTATTTCCCTTCAAAGGGATGTTCGGTCTTCGTCAGTAGTGAAGCCTATATATTGTGGATAGAATGATACAATCCTGAGGTCAGGCTTGTTGAAGTCGCATTTATGCCTACTTAGTAATAAAAAGTTGGTTCTGAGGCTCATTCCTTGTGAAATATGGTGGGTTTCGTCTAGGCAGATAGGATGAGCATCACTCTTCTGGTTTGTACTTGAAACGCAACAGCGCGACAGTCTGGTATTCTGGAACATCTGTGGATCGACTCCTCCAGGTATTTTCCTGCATCATTGGAAAGGGTGATCACTGAGTTAGGTTCAGCTCCTTGCCCGAACTCTTGGCACTGTCCGGAAATATTATCCGCACAAAGGTACCGTCTTGCATATACTTCAATACAGTAACATAAACTTAGAAATATCAGGATCTCATAACTATGCAGTCTCATTGATGGAAATAATTGTCAGAACAGGGAGCAAAGCGAAGGAGGAAAGAATCTCTGTTCGACCTTTATGGGGTCTGGGGCATGCCCTAGCAATATATTCTATTGGTGGCTGGGAATGCCCTTGAGGAGGGCCTTGAGGACTTGAGAATGAATGACCTAGTTTGACAATAGCTAACTCAAAGGAATATGCACCAGGTTCGGAGGGCTGGTGAGGGTAGGGAGCGCCATCGAAGGCGCTAGCCCCAATCTGGCTGATGCAATGAACCCTTCTGAACTTTCTTAATCACCAGTAGAGCTCCGAAATGAATACGAATAATGTGAATATTCATGAATAAATACGAATATGAATAAGTCTTGGCGAATAAATGTGAATATGAATATGGTCCGTATTCATATTCGTAATTGTTGAAGATCCCGGTGGCTGAAACGGTGTGCCAAGGATGGGGAACTTGTGTATATAAGAGAGTCATCCCGCCTGAAAAGGATAATCTTTACAACCAACAATACTATCACTTGCTTCAACACCCATATTCGCATGAATAAATATTCACTTTATTCGTATTCGCAAAGACGAATATGAATATAAGCTATATTCGTATTCATTTATTCATTTCGGAGCTCTACCAATGCCTACTACGGGTTGAGCCCAAACACCTCCATATTCAATAACAACTGCACATGGTCTTGAGGCTGTATGAAACCGCCCATGACTCTATACACCGAGTATAGCTACCTCTCCGTCGCGTCGCCGTGTATGATTATACCCGGAATGATAGTATGGTAAGGCCCCTTCCCACCCTAATGTAACAAGCCAGGTCGTGACCATCCCGTGACAACCCAAAGGGGAAGGTTGGCCGAGGAAGACGCAGCCTTGGGAACGCGAGGCTGAGTCATGTGCCTGATCAGTCCGATCTCGACTAAGCAATACTGAGAACACTGAGCACTCACGGCTATATATACAGGCCATTTTATAGTCGTCCTCTATACTTAAGTTCGTTCACGATCGTACCTATATAGTTTAGATATTGATTAGCTTCGCTCTAGTATATCGACTCGCTCTATACTCGTGCTCTTATTACTATATGTTACGTTTCGCTCCACCTAGGGTGTCACTGCACGTAGGGTTTCTTGGCAAGTGGGAAGTATAGGAGGGACGAAGTCTCGAAGAGCGTATAGTATATTGAGCGTACTGATATACTAGAAGCGAAGTGACCACAACCAAAACGTATGGGTATGATCGTGAACGAAGTTGACTACGTGGTAAAGCTATGTAATGACCGTGTATATATAGTCTTCTCTGGATGTGTTGTGGTGGTGTGTTGTTGATGTGGTTCCCACACCCCCATCTCGCCACAACACCATATCACTCTGCTTCCTTTTATGGAAGTCACGTGTCAGCCTTGCGTAAGGCAAGGCTGGCTCGGCTGTCCTTCCGTATATGTCCGTCGTCACGGGTTCGTATGCGGCCTGCGCTTAGGCCGACTTGTAACAGTCCAGAAGGGAGGCAGAACAATGATCTTGGCGCCCTGAGAGACGAGTTCTCTGAACGCGTCCGGAAAGGCCAGATCCCAGCAGATCAGCAAGCCTACTTTGCCGAGCGGCGTGTTGAACGCAACATGCGCGTCATGCTTAGAGCCACTGGTAAAAGGTCTCTCAGGATGCCAGGGATTCTTCTTCGCATATCTACCCGCGATTTGGCCGCTTTTATCAATAAAATAGGTGACATCCATGAGGATCCATTTCTGTGCGTCTTGGTGTTGGTGCTTTTCAAGGAAAGAGCCCGGGACAAGACAAATGCTACATTCTCTCGCGAGCTCACAGTACTCGTCCAAATACTTTTTCCAACCTGCAAAAAAAGGGTCGGGGCTCCTCGGGCTACGCACGCCCAAATGGAATCAGTAAGAACAGCAAGGTCTGACTCGTCAGTAGCTGCTTGTCGAATGAAAGCCACAGCCTGGGCATAATTATGCTCAATCTGACCCGGCTAACAGAGTCAGTAAGGTAGACTATCTTTCTTGAGACATCGAAAAGTTACCTGAGGATGCAACTGGATGAGGGCGACCTTGTACATTTTCGACCGATGTCAGCTACCGGAGGGATGATCAATCGTGAGCACTGGAGATATGGTCACCTGGAAGGAGCCCTTTAAGCCGATTGTAGAAGTATTTAAACTGCCGCAATTTGTCCTTCTTGGGGGTACAGGGGCGGGGTATGTAAGCAAACCAGCGTTTTTGACTTACGAACACCTGTATATTAAGAGTTTCTTGCAACGAGGAGAACTGGGCTCTTGGGTATTCTATCATCGAGAACATCTGTCCAACAGGATCAACACTACCGACATTGCGAGCACCTTAGCTTCCTCATAGCCTACAGTTAAGCCATATAGTGGTGGTCCGCCCGGAGAAATCCACAGAGCGATATTACATCCGGCTCCAGCTACAACGCAAACACCAGGTCTTGCTTGGAGAAAAACACGAGGCTGGTCTGGGGAGCTCATGAACGGCCGGAGGATTTGTGGATCCCTCGAAGGTGAGAGCTTTTTGATAGGGCCAATTTGCGGCTTCGGTACCGCGGGTGGCAAGTAGAGCCCCCGCACAGGGGAAGAACGACTTATCCTCCCTTGATTTTGATTTTGTTTCAAGAACTCAATTTGTATGGCACGTTCAGGTCTGCCGAATCTTGGTCCCGGACGAAGATGCCGTCGTGATTAGCAGACATCTTGCGTCAATATCTGTCACACGGCGTTATCAATAAGGCAATGATAGCTGGGGGTCCAATATGATGTATTGACGAGTCCGACCTCGATCATTAGGAGGCCGTTCCCTATCTATTTATATAGTAAAAAGGAGTGCAAATTTTTCTCTGGTTGAGACTGTTCTCGTTGCCGCATCAACCGTCACAGAGGGTCTAGTTGACGATCCATGAGAGTCGCCTTAAGAACGAGCGCTCTTCCAGGTAGACTATGAGGGTGAAAACGAGCGACCGAGACTAGTACAGAGTCTCAAGTTGTAAAGGCAGGTATCGGCGGGTTCCGCCGTAGAGCATCATCCGTGGCCGTCCAACACCATGGAAGCCAAGTTTGAAGTGAGAGATTGGTGGCGGCAAAGTATCCAAGATGAGAAATCTAGGACCCCGTTTCCACTAGCCAATTCCTGGTATATAGGAGCAAACATACCTGGTGAATTCAGGGAGCAACTTGTATATATCAGTGGGGTGGACGTGTATGTCCAAGCTTGTCGAGCAGTACTGGGAAAGTGGAATGGCTTTGAAGTCACACATGAGGTGTAGCTTAGACCGTGCTATATATCCAACAGAAGTATTTCTGTATACCTCGTAGACAATGTTCAGAGCAAGAGACAAATCACTGAAAGATGGAGAAAGAGGATCTATGTTACGAACCAAGGCCGTTTTAAGGACGCGGCTGCCGACGACCAGACGAAGCAAGGCAGGTAAGCCGGAAAGAGCAGGGCAGTATCACGTAACACCTTGAAGGAGGCTCTGCTGGCTCTGTGTGCTGTGTGGGCAGAGCCAACAGAGCAACGGAGCAGACAGAGCTCGACGGTCATTGGATGACGAAGTCTATACAGTCACGCTCCTTCTCCCATGGTAGATAAGACTTTCGTGGTCAACCTAAGTCTATAGTCGGACCGTATGGTTCTCAGTGTTAAGACTGCTATAACACCACTGTACCCCAGCTAAGAAACCTACGTGGATGTTGTGTGTACGCCTCAGAGCGTCGGTCTGATTTATAACAAGAGCCATGCAGGATGAGGAGGGCTGACCGACTCTTCTCTGTGAGGCTTACTAGAAGTTGGGAGTTAGAAGAGCCGTGCAGGACGGATGTGACAGGATGAAGGACTGACCATACCTACCGAGGAAACTGAGAGAGTCGTGCAGAGCGTCCAGGACAGAATGAAGGACGGTCCCTGCATGGCCATACCTACAGAAGCAACTGAGAGAGTCCATATGACGGCTGCGACAGGGGAAGGGCTATGCCTCCGTGGCCATAATCATAGAGGAAATCGGGAGAGCTGTGCAGGAAAGTCATTACAAATGAAGGGCTTACAATACCTATAGAGGAAACTGAGAGAGTTCACACGACAAGGTCGAACAAATGCTGTGCGATTCTCGCTCCACAGCGCGTACCGTGACAAGAATGAAAGGCTTGACATTCCTCTGCAAGCCTTGCTCATAGAGGCAACTGAGATAGTCCGTGTGACACGACCGTGACATGAAGGTCTGGATGATTCGAATTGCAGCAACTACCTCCCTAGGAAAGGAAATGTTGAAGATTTGATCCAGATACCTTCGGATGTGGGAGATGACAAGGAGGAGGATTAGTCATTTCTTGGTCATCATTGTAAATACGTTCCAGCCTGCGGAATATCCCTCTGAGAGCGTGTATATATATGTGCAGCATGGGAGCCATGTTTGTGAAGATGTGTATAACGAATTAATGGAAATCATCTCGAGCCTGAGCATAATCTCATATCCTCAACATAACCCTTAAAACCTAAACGTATATGGCAAAGAATCATTGGTCTATTGTATAACCGGTGTAATAAACTGAGAATGCTCCGTTCTCTAAATTATGTACTAAGATCTTATTAGCGTATCTCTCTAGTAAGAACAGCGCTTCGCTGGACGAATCACCCAAGTTATCACAGTTTTATTCTTTACAGGGTCTAAAGCATAGACATGCGAGTCCAGCCTAATACATGCTATATCTATAACTCCTCTTCTGTCCGCCTTCACTTTATCCGCGGTTACGCTCGAGAAATGGTGCGGCAGAATTAGGCTCTTATTAGCGTTGAAGAGAATGAATTTATCTACATTTCGTGCGACAAACCTAGATTTAATACGGAAGAAGCATTGCTTCAGCATTGTTGAAATGCATAATGTCATTAAAGCGAATAGTGCAAAAGGTGTTAATGGCTATTTACTTCTGTAAAGGCCTACGAGCAACATATTCGGGATTCGCAGAATCATTAGGTCTGTTTAAGATGCAGTGTTAACGAACCTGAAGAAAGCGATCTCCGAGTTCACATGGGAACTAAACACTCGTTCTGTTACGATTATTAGGAGAACTATGGTAATCTAGGGAAGCATCGTGTTTAGCGGCATAATCGATGCTTAATGTGTAACACAGAATTTGAGAATGAAAATAAAGTGTTAATGATAGGTTAGAAGAAAGGTATTCCGGAAAATTTACTAATACTTATAAAGCACGCGAAGTCCCATAATCCTCGTCTAAAGAAGTGCTATGGCTATGACCGCAAATTTAAAAGCCTCTCCGGAATCCTTATCCACCTTGAGTCGACGAGCTATGATTCAGGAGTTAGCAAAGTCAATATTAATTGATGGGCTTTTAACTGCGATCGAAGCTATCTCTATACTAATGACTGGAAAGAAGAGCTAAGATACCGGTGTCCTAGCTATGAGGATAGGTTTCTAAAAGTTAGTGGATTGCTTCAATATATTGAGACTACAGCATGTTCTGCAATGTACAGTGAGGAGGTACATTAAGTAGCGGGTTCAGAATACATTGGGATAATAAAGTGAAAGTGTGTGGTCATGAGTTTTCTTCGCGCAAACATTATGATACTATATGCTTAGTACTGTTGAATTTTCGACCAGTTCAGCCTTTCCACGTTAGAGGATACAATTGTTTGTCCTCGATAAGAAAGGGCAACTTCAGATGTACTGTTCAGTCCTAATTCGCTCTCTAGAAGAAAGCATTACTACCCTCTTTTTAATGTCCATGTGCTTGCCGGACCTCTTACACCTCTTGTTCTGCCCATAGTATTCACATAAGAGCGGATAACACAGGAAATCCTTACAGTGTATCTCAATATAATCAGGGTCCCAAATGTTGTCCTTAGAATATGAGTATGTGCGCAGCGTCATCCGGCGGCCCATGCATGCAACCCCATATACCAGGAATTACAATCTGTTCGTCCGGCGTGCTTCAGGTGAAACTGCTTTCTTTTGCTCGCGCTTGTTTGGAAAGACTAGACATCATTGTCTTGGTTCTGGTTTGAGCGTTGGCGGCGAGGACTCTAATAATTTTTTGTAGTGTAGACCAGGCAGATGTGAGCTTGCTATTTTTAGTCTTCAATTGGCCTGGACCTAAACATTGGTCTAGACCATTTTAATAAAACTGGACTAGACCATTCAATTGGACTAGGCCAATCTTTGAGACTAGGGTCCTGGAAACAGAGAGGTCCTGAACCGTCATGGGCGCTAGGTACGCTATTCCAGGCTCGGGTTTGTCTGGGGCTCCTTGTCCTGGGACAGAGTAAGCTCCAGGACGCACTGCCCAGGCTTCGCACAAGTCATAGGACATGCACGGCGACAGGACCCCAGTCCCCTCTACCCTCTCCTATGACTTCTGTCCCATGGAATAACCACTCCTGTGACTATGGAAGCCCTGGCCGAAGTAGTAGTAGTAGTAGTAGTAGTAGTAGTAGTAGTAGTAGTAGTAGTAGTAGTAGTAGTAGTAGTAGTAGTAGTAGTAGTAGTAGTAGTAGTAG